GGTTATGAGTGTGAGGTCATCATGGTCGAATTAGTATCACTGTAAGAGATGAGAGGTTGGATGAAATCCTCAAATTCCCTTTCATTGCCCCATCCCCACTGCAAGGACACTGTAAGAACATATTTGTCTGAAAACAAAAGAATGCTTTATTGGGGACTGAATAGGCCAAAAACCCGATCTTAGACTTCCCAGGCTGAACAGCTGTACAGCTCTACAGCAACATTTCTGTTGATCAGTCCACCGAGTGTTTTGTCATAGTAGCCTAAACGGACAAAGACAATATGCAAATAAATGTGTAACAAATGACAGAAGCCCAGACATATGAAATGACATCAACAGAACTAAGAAAAAGTGGGCAAACCTACAGACAAGAACTGATAATTTAGCATTAAATCAATGGGAGAAATCAGGAATTAATTTGAAAATACGACACATACTACTAAACAAGTCAACTTAACTGGTGCTCATGGAACCCCATACCTAACAATTAAAAGAACCCTCAATCTAACAACTAAATTACCAAAATCGACTGTGTGACATACAAGTCTCAACACATACCTCTCCACTAACATAAGAAAACAAACCTGCTCTAAAAACGCATTTAATTAAATCCACAACTGAAAACCATTTAGATCTCAAATATTGCTTAGACAATATACTTCTACATAATCCATGCATCAAAAAGAAAACAAAATACATGGGAAATGTAAAAACAATTCAAAAGGAGCACACTTTTGAAGTACAAAATATATGGGAGTCACAAGAGATGCCTCATGGGGAAATTTATAGCTTTAAATGTTCACATTAGAAAAAAATTAAAACCCTTGAAAGATACTACATTCTGCATCATAAAATAAGAAAATAGAGAAAAACTACATTCCAAGTATAAAGAAGAAAATACTAGAGACTATAACAGAAGCAACAGTAACAAATCACAAACTCTCAATACCTCAACACTGTTTCTGTTAGTGTTTCCATTCCTTAGGCTTGTGCTTCCTGCTCCCGTAAACTTAGTCAGTACCAGACCAGAGACTGTTCCTGAAGACAGTGCAACCCAATGAACTGGAAGTTATGACTACAATTTAACTATCTGGGGAATCCATAAAGTAGCTACCAACAAACCAATGAAGACAGTTACTAGTGATGGGAGCACTCATTGCTGGCTGCTATAAGGAGCCTGGGCTTCTGCTCTGATGAATCTGTCTATGAACTGGGAGACTCCTTGGAGCATCCCTTGGCCATCTCTGTTCAGAAGCAGTGATCAGGCCACTAGAGGAAACGTGAAGGAAAAGACAAAGGCTTGGACCACTCAGTGACACCTGGATTGTGCCTAGGCTCAGACCACTCAGTGACACCTGGATTGTGCCTACCAGGAAGGGAACCCAAGCTGGCCCACGAGCTATATGGAAGTAAGGAGAAACAAGTATATGCCCTGGAGGACTAAAAAGATAAGTAGCAAGCAGGACCTCAGGAACAGCAAAATCTTGGACTTTTTCTGTGTTTGTGCTAAATCTTTGTGGGCTGTTGGGGTACCAGAGAGATACCTTGATATAGATGGGACTTGACATTAAAAAGGGGGCATGAGCACTTCTGAAGGGGGAAACTGCTAATGACTCTTACTTGTGATACTTCACACTCTCCAAGTCCCATCTCCCATTCCAGAATTGCAGCAGAGCCCCCAAGAGAGCATGATTAGTCCTGCACAGTTCCTTGTTTTCCTCCTAAATTCACCCTTTGCTTCTGTCCTGGGGTGCTTGTTGTCATGGTTTTGGGCTCCCTATAGAAACATCTTTGTCACTCAATCTCAGAAGTATGGAGAGAGAAGGCTGATAGGAATATCTTTGGGCAATGGGGAAAGGCCTATAAATAACACCTACTTTCAAAGCTCCATCGGTGAAGAGCTTGCCGCCCAAGCTTAGCACCCAAGTGCCATCCCCAGCAATCATATAGAAGTCATGTACAGAGGTATCACTTGTAATCCCAGACCTGGGAGGGAAAGACAGGTCGATCCCTGAGGCTTGCTAGCCAGCCAGCTTAGCCTAAGCAGCAAGTCTCAGCTCCCAGTGAGTGAGCCTGCCTCAGAAACAAGATGGACTCTTCCTGAGGAATAACACCTGAGACTAACCTCTGACCTCCAACACATATACACATATGCACATGTATCTGGGGTGGGGGAGCCTCCTTTTGTCTCAGGTAAAGAGCTATGAGGCATGTTTTAAACCTCAGAAGGTTCTGGATGACAGAACATGCCACCATCAACTTAATAGAATCCCCTACCCTGTTGAAATGTCTCTTCTGGTTCCCTCCTCCAGCTCTTTGCTCTGGGTCTCCTCCCAAATGAATTGTTCCCATGTGTCTTTGTTCTTGTTTTGATGAAAATCCATTTGGGACACAGATCTTCACACAAGAGTATTGATTCCCTTGGTCACACAGAGCCGTGGCAACTCTTCATGTCTTTTAGAAAGGATTCAACACAAATTGGAGTCCATGCATTTGGATAAGGCCACCCGCCCCCCTTGGGAGAATGAAGACTGGCAATTTTCCCCAGGGAAGACGTCCTTCTAACTTGACCCCATTGCTAATGGTCCCTTCTTACCCAGAGCTCCTTCTCTTTGGGAGTTCCACTTCTTTGAAACAAATAAACAAACAAGCCAAACATGCAGCTTATCTTTACACATTAAGTCTCCTCAAAAGGTGCCTGGTGAACATCAAGGATTAGCAAACTGAGTTTGCTACCCTAAGATGATCCTTCAACCCGCCAGTTACTCTCATTTATTTTCTTTGCTGTTTCACAGTCTCTGAACCATGTTTTTCCTCTTTTTAAATGGCAGACTGTTTTCTTTGGCACAGCCCCAGAGTACAGCAACAGTTAAAGTCGCCACTATGTGAAAGATCTGTATTTGTTTAGAATTTACTCCGAAGGCCGTGAGAGCAGGCGACCTGGATTTTAGAAGCAGCCCCAGGAAATTCACAGGATTTTCTTTCCTGTCCTCTTGCCAGGATGCTAGTTCTTCCTTGGCCAATGGCAAGCTGCACAAGGTCACAATTAATGCTGAGCTATCAGCCTCCTTGTTCTCTCTCTTGACCCTTACGGTACACACAGCAGAAACTGTGACAGGAAAGCGACAGCATTAGCTTAGGCTCCCACATGACAGATGGGACAATAATCTTCCCAGATCTATTTTGGAGGAACATATAACCTAGCAAAGAAAAGGAATTGACTCTGAACATACACATCCATCATACCTTGAAGAGTGAATCCAATCTAGGTTAGAAAGCAAAATGAACTTCAAAGGAATACGGCAACTGACCCACGAAGGACAAAAGGGAAAGTTGGAACAGGAGGCTCAGAAGTGAACTTGAAGACTGACAGAGACATTTGAACAATGGGTAGCTCACATCACGTGATGGGAAGTGATAGTGTGATTTCCAACTTACAAAAGGTTAGAAATCCGGATTCCTTATCTTGGAAGGAACACAGGAGTGACAGTGACCTTTCGTTGGGAGACAGAGGTCGGAGGTAGAAATTGATCCAATTTTAGCTTCATTATCAAAATGAAAATGTTTTCGTAGCATGGCAAATAATGCTTAAAAAACATTTGTAAATATAGAGCATGCCTGGTATTGACTTTGTCCACTTGACTCAGTTATTAAGCAAAGCTGCCAGGGTTCTGAAGCACAGGGTTCAAATGCTGGCACTTGCCATGGGAACCTCTCTGAAATATGACTTCAGGATGCTGTGGTACTCTGGTTGTAGAATCTCTGCTTCTTGTTCCCTTACTTTTTTCTTATTAAACAACTCTTTGTACTTTCTTCCCGGACAGTAAATAACTGAGTTCTGCAGCATCGCTAGTCAATCCCCAAGGATCTGCTCCACAAATTACCTTCAATGCTGTTTATTTTGCTTTATCTTCTCCAGGATACAGGGAATAACAGAAATTGCTTTTGTTCAGGCTGACTTATCATTTCATTTTTCTTTTCTGTCTTCTACCTCACAAGAAATGCTGATGATTAAGGTTTTATTCTAAAGACTTTTGTTTTGGTTTTGAAATGAGGCCTGGAAATTAGGCGTATATGGCTAGCCAAGGATGAATTTTAACTCCTCATCATCTGCCTCTATCTCCTAAGTGCTGGGGTAAGAGGTGTGCACCACCATGCCCGGAGCTTCTGTAGACCTGCAGACTGAACTTGGAGCTCTGTGCAAACTAACCATTTACTCTACCAACTAAGCTATTTCACCAGCCCCATCCTAAAGATAATTAAAATGTGAGCAAGTCCAACAGATGATGACTTTAAAAAAGGCCTATCTTATGGAGAGCCAAATTACACAGGAAAGAAGGAAAAGAGTGCAGAAAGAAGGAAAGAAGGAAGCAAGGGAGGGAGTGGGGAGGAAAGAAATGGGTAAATTGTCCCAGGTTCTATTTTTATAATAACATTATAGAGAATGAAGATTAATAAGTAAGCATTCATTACTATTAGCTAAGATCTCCTTAGAAAACACGTTGTAGTTTTAGACAGCAAATGGCTTTCATGATCTTTATTTCATGAGAATAGCAATCCTTCATACTTAAAAATGGAATCATATTTCTAGAACACATGGTTGATTGACTAAGTCCAACAGTTATGAATCTAATGACAAACTTTGGTTGAACTGTTGTACATTATGTAGGCAGAATGGCTGTTTAGGAGAACTTTCCATTTTCAGATGCAAGTCTAGGCATTTTGTACAAATGCAACGTTAGGACACTGGTCTGTTGCCCACTTGTGGACTCCGATAAGGGTCAGAATCTCAGATCACCATCAGAATATCAGTCTTGAGTAATGTGTCTTCTGCCTACAACTTACCTTCTTGGCTTCCACAGAGTATTTAATTCTCTCTCTTATATCTACATTATTCAGCTTCCACCACTCTCCCCTTTAATTGATTGTCCCCTCTCATTTTCAGTTGTTTTTACATTTTCAGTGTTAGAAAAACAAAATAGAAAACCCATAAATCTTACCATCTCCACCAAGGATAAATATAAGAACATCCCAGCCGTCACTGTTAAGATCCAGTCTTGGACGCGTGGATCAGCAGACACTGAGAGACCAATATACAGTCCTATGAAGGCGGTCAGGGCACTTACAAAATTCATCAGGATGGCAGTTCTGACCGAGAGTCCCGAACTTAAGAGTACAGCAAAATCTCCTGGAGTTTGGGTAGGGAGGAGGGGATGTCACCATTATTTATTCAAAGGTGCTTTTGACAAATTCATGTACTACTAGTTTGTTTTGAATTAAGCAAATGGAACAGATTTGGAGAGTAAAGATGAATGATCAGTTAGTGAAACTCAGCCACCTACATTTCTGGGGCTCACTGCCGAGTTGAGTTGAAGCTGGAAATGGATCTATTCCTTTTCCTAAATATAGCCCTTCCAGTGAGGTCTGTGACATGTTCTCCAATCTCTGATACGCTGCAGCATTTTCAACTCAGAAAATGCAAACTAAAGGTATCCTCTAGTCTGGAGTTTCTCAGTTCATTTCTGTTGTTGCTTTGGCTTGGATCCTTGACAGGAGAATTGTGATGCTACACAGGCTTTTATGACTTACTTATTTGGGGTCTGTTGTAAAAAAGAGGAAAACTGCTTAATCAGAGATTTTTAAATCCTTGAAAAGTTGATTTAAAAAACAAAACCTCTCTTTAGAAAATGATTTTCTACAATGGCCAGAGAATACTATCCTTTTTCTTCCCATACCTTTGTGCCAAAAGATGAACATTCTCTCTGCAAAACTAGAATGTCTATTTCTCAGTCTCCATCACCAAACAGAGGCTGAAATTGAATATAGAGAAAATGTGGGGCCCCATTCCCTAATACATTGAATAACTGCTCCCAGATGTAACTTGTGATACCACCATACTAGCCTGCTACACATTACTATACTGCCCCGTGATTTGAGGTTGAGAGTCAAGTACCATACCACTAGTGTAGTAACTTAACACATGACCATAGTGTTCTGGGATTGATTCCCAGAACACTTACATTTTAATGCATTCAGAAGAGACCTTGGATAAAGTGAGTCAATAATAACTTGGTAATGAGACTTTGGAGAATGGAGATTAAACACAAGACGGCAAGGGTGGCCCATGGGACAACGTAAACTTGAAATTGAAAGCAAAAAGAATGAGCCTATCCTAGTTTTCTCTTCCCTACTTTGATTAAACACTCTGACTGAAAATTTAGGGGAAGTTTTGTATTATACTTCCATGTCACAGTCTATCACTGAGGGAAGTCAGAGCAGCAACTCAAGCAAGACTTTGAAGAAGAAAGCTTGGAGGGATGCTGCCTGCTGACTCACTCCAGTTCATGCTTAACTAGCTTTCTTGTACAGCTCAGGACTACCTGCTTAGGGAACGGTGCTGCTCTCCATGAACTAGGCTTTCCTAGCCCACCAATGGACAATGAAGACAGTCCCTCACAGACTGCCTACAGGACACCAATCTCATCAAGGTAATTCCTCAATATATACACTCTTCTGAGGTGACTCTAGGTCATGTCAAATTGAGGATGGAGGCCTCCTTCTAGGACACCTATATAGGCAGTATTCCCTCCACTAGTTCTAGGCCTGTTTCCGACATTCCTCTTTTATTTGGTCTTGGTTCAAGGAAACAGGATTGGTATACAAGGTTACACTACAGTTTCCCTCTTAACATGTTAACTATATTCAGCACGCAGATTTTCTGATCTTTGCCAAAGTCCTTTGAATGAGACTTCTCTGAATAATTCTCTTCCATACTGAATTAGCTGGGATCTGTGGGGCATGATTGTTGACCCTGGAAAGAAGATAAGGAGCCCCTTGAGCTTTATCTAAAGGTACAATGTATTTTTTTTGTTTTTGTTGGTTGGTTTTTGTTTTGCTTTGCTTTGCTTATGGTTTAAATAAATTAAAAATGGAAAATTATTGAAAAATAATGTTTCCATGTTTTAAAGTTTAGAGAAGAATCCAAACAAACTATTTCTGGGGATGTACTAGGACAGCCTCAAGAAGCAGGAACACTTACCCATTTCATGGGGAATTTCATGACACAAAATAGCAATTGTTGTGGTCACTCCAGACTCCAGTGAAGATGAGAAGGCTGTCCCTATTACAAGGCCATCTGCAAAATTGTGCAGGCTATCCCCAACCAGTATCATGATTGCCAATAAGCTGATAGTTTTGCCTAAAGAACCAAATGAAGAAGTAAAAAGTATTAAAAAAAACACTACAGATGTCATGGGGTCTTTCCCATGCAAGCCCCTTTCCCATTCAATGTGACATTCTTACATTGCACCTCATTAAATAGCCCTATTATATTCTGCTTTAAAGATAAGCTAGAACTCAAAATGAAATGTGGTACCAAATAAACTCAAAATGGCTACTATGTTTTTAACTGCTTTGACCAATTATAAAATAAACTATATGCTGACATTTGGTTTCTTCCATTTATTGAGCTAAGCTGTGGTGATTTGAATGAGAATTGTCCCATAGGTTCATATGTTTGAATGCTTGATCCCCAACTGGTGAAGCTGCTTGGTAAGGATTGGAAGGTGTGACTCTACTAGCAGAGGTGATGCCAAAAACAGGTTTGGGGGTTTCAAAAGTTTTATTTCATTCTGGGTGCCCCCTCTATCTACTCCATGTGGATTGAGATACAAGTTCTCTGTTGTCCCTACCATCATGTTTTTCTTCCATCACGGTCTCTAACCTCTGAAGTCATAATTATGAACAAAGTTCATAATTTCAATCAAGAGACAGCTAAATTGACTGTGTTACATGGATGGTCTGTGAAATTTATTTATAAGGCTCTTACTTGTTTATAAATATTAAGAATTAAATTAATATGCCAGTGTACATAGTTCAGTGGCAGAGCTCTTGCCTGGTATTTATGAGGGACTAAGTTTAATCTCCAGTCTGAAAAAGAAAAGTATAGAACAAACTTAGAACTTTTTCAGTTTACTAACTTATTTAATCCATTGTTACAACTGGAGAAAGTTTAGAAAGTGATAGTAAACACAGAGAAAAATATCAAATTTTTGAATTCAGGAAGTTCAGTCCAACATTGCCTGAAAACTCTATGCCTCTAATGACATTATGATATCACTTAGATGCTCCTGTCAGCTTTCAAGAACAAAGTTTCTTTTTTATAAAATAACTTAATTTAAAGTGATATATTATAGCATGCCTGCCTGCAAATAAAATATGTTTTCCTTATGCCTACATGTAGTTCTGATAATGATAGAATACATTCAAATGTAGTATTTTCAGTGCTCTAGATCTTTCTAGGAAACTGTATGGCCTGTTTTCATTGCCTATTACTTTATTATCTCTGATTTCAGGTTTCTAAATGTCACACTATGGTAATGTAAGCAGACACAAGGCAAATACACACATTTGCATGTAAATCACAAACAACACACCATGTATCTGTGCATATTCAGGAAGATCATTTACACATTTATCAAAAGATAAGCAATTTGCTGGAAATTTAATATACTTGATACCAAAATATAATATTTCATCCTTGTTCATGTACTTGGCAGCCTTCAGAGTCATGCATGTCTGAACTATCTGATATTTTCCACCATAAAGCATGGGCTAGAACTAATCTGATTTGGATTTTGTTTATTTAAATCAGACTGTGGAGAGGATTTTCACATCCTGTCTTTTGAAATACAAGTTGAGTCCTACCGACGAGGCAATATTTCTGAAAGAAGTAATCACATAGCAGAAGCTAACTCAGTGTTTTCCTGGCAAACGGCAGCTGACTGTGCTAATTTGGATTTTCTCACTGTTCATTCTGCATGCCAAACTTGATACCTGCAGTGGGAAGATTATCTGCATGAAATGGCTGTTGCTCCCTGGCGTGGTTTCCACGTTCTACTCCTAATTTGCCTTGGCACATCCTTCCCCCCCCCCACACCTCTTTCCTTTATTTCAAAAGTAACAAACAACAACACCTGACATAGACTCGCTATGCACCAAAATATTCCAAATTCCTACTGGAACTAAAAATCATACAAAAATTAAATAACATCCTTGAGCTGTAGAAATGGCTCAGCAGTTAAGAACATTAGCTACTCTTCCAGAGGACCCAAGTTTGATTCCAGTACCTAAATAGTGGCTTACAACCATCTTTAACTGCAGTTCTAGGGATCTGACACCCTCCTCTGACAACCAAGGGCACCATACTCCTGAGGAGCACAGACATACATGCAAACAGATATTAACATACATACAAAATGTACAAAAGAATTAAACAACATCCTGGAAGCATAATGGTACAGAATATGAAATTACATATTTTAAAACAAATTAGTGAATTACAAAACTTAGTATAGCCAAAACAGATCAAGTAATGTCATGATAACATCTATAGTAGTAATCAGTACTTACATTAGTAATTTATTCATATTTACATTCCAAGCTACCTGGCAAATTACAGACAATGAACATGTGGTTATTCTATTCTCCAGTACATACTCAAAGCCTAAAGCATAGTACATTTTCAGACTATTTTGTCCATGCAGGTGATCAAATTCAGGGCCATATACATGGTGCCAATTCAGTGACAGTGTCACAAATGAGACAGATCATGAGAGAAAATAAAAATGTAATTCTACCTCAATAAGTAATAGTAAATTAAAGTCCTGGAATACATTAGACGCTTGATTTTAAAAGAGCCCTAGAAAATATATGCACATGTACACTGATTGAAGATTTCAGAAAGTGGCATTAGATAATTGAAGAAATCAATTATAAAGAATGGAATAAAGTCAATATTGATATGTGGTATTCTTAGGAGGCATACAAGAATGAGTACTTACTGAAGATCTTATTGTGAACCTTTCCATCTTGAAATAGAGATGCGCTATTCAGTCTTGTTGGTTTTGACATATTTGTTTAAAAACAGATATAAGCTTTTTCCATGTCACTTTTTAATATTTAAATTTTAACTGTGCAAAATTGGGACTCACATTTTCTGTTGGAGGTTGCCACATCACCAATGGGGAGCTCAGCAGTCTGTGAATCTTCTGGGCCTTTCTGTGTTAAATTAAAATATAATTAATGAAAAGTAAGTAACTGTCACATTAGTTTGCAACCTGAAACTAAGAGTTATATTGACATTTTTCTACTCTAGATACATATTAGAACTTCCACCTTACATATACAACATACAAAGTAGAACAAGGTCACCTCACCAAAATGTCCCACCCCAGTATGGATTATAACTTCTCCTTAGCTGCCTAAGTGGAATACCACCAAGGATACATTTTATCCATTAATAAATATGTCTTTTTAAAAGTATGTGCATATAATTCTATTAGCCAAAGTTGTGAAAACTGACAATAATTTAATGTATTAGAAAACTTTCAGGTATCATTGTCATTGTCACATAAAGGTAAAACTAAAGCTCACGGGTTAAAGTAATAGCAGCTATTCAAAAGACGGGCTATTTGTGGAGATGGGGGGCTGACAAAAGAGGAAATGGCTGTAGGACATAGCACATCTCTTTGCCTGAAATAAGTGAGTAAAGAAAAAAAGAGCCAATATGCTAATTATACCTTATACAGACATGTACTTGTAATCACAAGCTTTATGGCTCTACTAAAAGATATAAATTCAAATATTTATTTTATACACTTTACCTGAAACCTATATATCATTTCACGGTACAATGGAATTTACAGGCAAGCCTCCAAGACCTCTTATATATGAGAAAAAATAATAACGTTTCCTTATTCTACCTACACTTTCCAAAATGAAGAGGAGGGAAAAATCAAACCCATCCAACAATCTGATATGTTAGGGTGAGAAGTGTCCTGACATTTTGAAACTCATTAAGTCATTTTCAGAGACTTACTTTCACGGATGGTGGAGCTCCATACCCCTCATTTCAACACAAATAATAGAGCCAACAGGAATAAGACTTTTCAAACTAATCTTAACCTTAGGTTATTCTCTTTCACACCACATTTTAATGTACCTGAACAATAAGTATACTAAAGTACTAAAATAATTTCCATTTCACTAATTATCACCATCATCTTTATTATGCTTTTCTGAGACAGGGTCTCACAATGTAGGCTATCCAGAAAATCATTATGCAGACCAGGCTGACCCTGAAATCAAGGAGGTCCACCTGCTTCTACCTCTCCAGTGCTGGCATTAAAGGTGTTTATCACCATGACCAGCTTTATAACCACTTTATTATTTTTAATTAATTAATTTATTTTACATCCCAAACCAGCCTCCTGTTTCTACTCTCCTCTCACTTCCTCCCAGCTCCTCCCCTCTGACCCCCAGGCCACTCTTATTTGCTCAGAAAGGGGCACCCCCTCCCTGGTGCATCAACAAAGTATGACCTATCAAACTGCCATAGGACCAAGCACCTCCCCTGTATTCAGTCTGTGCAAGGCAATTCAGCATGAGGAATAGATTTCCAAGAGCCAGCCAATGCAACAGGGACAGCCCCTGCTGCAATTACCAGGAGTCCCACAAATAGACCAAGCTACACAACTGTCTCATATATGCAGAGGGAATTAAAATAATTTTAAGGGAACTCTTGTATGTCCCCACCTCTGAGTTAACATTAGATCTGCAATCTCCTGATACATTTCTTGTGCTGGGTGTATATTATATGTGTGTCTAGCATCGCTTCTCTTCAGGCTTCTCCTTGAACTTCAATCCCCATACAAAAGTCATGCTTACAAGTTTACAGTTGTATGATGTTTTCTATTTGTTCTATCCCTATATGCTTTTGTCTAAGAACTAGAATGAGAATATTTTTGACCTGATTGGAATTTTACTTTAAAACCTACTATGGAAAATTTTGTTGTGAGAAATCCATTTTCATCAAAGGTGCTTGCAATGGCACACATCACTAGACAAAATTGGTTCTCTCCTGGATTTTACAATTAACATTCTTATCCTAGACAGATTAACAAATCCCTCGCCCAGCATTAACTAGGAAATGATTTAGGATTTTACGAAATCGAAAACCCAAAGGTCAAGTGGCTTGTGAAAACAAATAATTCAAATGATGAAAATTATTATGTCAATCTGATCAATGGGTGTTTCACAATGCAGACAGTGGGGACTTAAATCTGTGGATCATGTGTTTTGTGCAAAAAAAGAAAGGAAGGAAGGAATGGAGGTTGGGAGTGAAAGAGGAGGGGGAGAGGAGGGGGAGGGCTTGAGAGGAAAGGGGGTGGGGGAAAGGAAAGGGAAGGAAATAGAGGAGAGGAGAGAAGAGGAGAGGAGAGGAGGGGAGGGCAGGAGGGGAGGGGAGGGAAGGAGAGGGGAGGAGAGGAGGGGAGGAGGGGAGGGGAGGAGAGGAGAGGAAGGGAGGGGAGGAGGGGAGGGGAGGGGAGAGGAGAAGAGAGGAAAGGAAAGGAAAGGAAAGGAAAGGAAAGGAAAGGAAAGGAAAGGAAAGGAAAGGAAAGGAAAGGAAAGGAAAATGGCTTTCAGGTGTTTGGCAACGTTTTCCAAACAGTGTTTCTCATGGTCAAGAACAGGCAAGTCAGAGTGGGTCCTGCTCATTTCCCCCACTGAGTGTCCTCTGAGCATGGAAGAGTAAAGAAAAGCAGCTGAGACTGCAGAATTCTTCAGACCCATGACCTACCAGCTGGATCGTTGAAATAGACTTGCCTCCACCTGACTGGTCGTTTAATTCAGGGTTGAGTGAAAGGTGGTGGGCATGTCCTACATGTCCATTAGCCAACGGCTGGCCCTGCAGGATGGGAACAGCGCAAAATTAGTGAGAGGCCAGAAGCACACATACGTAGACTTTTTCAGTTCCATGCTCTATTCATTTTGCTTATCAACGTTTTGGAGAGGACACAAGAAAATACTTCCTGGAAAATTTCATTGTGATAAATGTTTACTAAAATGCCTCATCTTGGAAAAACATTGCACATACCCAGAATATATTAACAATGTGACTTCAGAAAGTCTAGCAGTGACTGAAAGACGTTGAAAATGAAGTAGTTTAATATTATTATTTTATTTACTAAAACTTACAATTGTACAAAATTTGATCTTTAATTTCTTCTGATATAGGTACAAAAATGATTATCAAATTATATTTCATCTTGCAACTACTAATATAATATCTCCCCAAGTACATTATTCAATTAAACATTTCTGAACATTTGAACATGTGTATTTCTTTTATTGTGTGCAATAACATGGACCTTAAAATTGTGTTGTTATTATTATTGCTCAATGTTTCTCATGTGTGCATGAGTCAAAGCCCTTGTATGGAGGTCAGAGGGTTGCTTTTTGGACTTTCGGACCATGCATTCTACAAACCTGAAATAATTGACTTTTTAAACCAATCATGAAGGTAACACAGAAGATTTCGGCAAGGATATTAACCGCCCAGTACCTGGCTTTTAAAAAACATTAATAACTATAGTTAAGAAGAACATACTCAGAATGAACAGTGTATTGTTTAAATTGCCATGCCTTCTCTGACACGGGTGAATTCATGAAAATGCCGCTACTTTTTACCCAGTGCTGGGAGCCAAAGCCTGGGTCTTGAGCATACAAGGCAAGCACTCTACCACCAAACTGATCTCTAGCTCTTTTTTTTAATTTTTAAATTAATCAGAAAGCAAATTCATTTAGTTAGTTAAGATAGCCCAGGCTGGCCTTGAACTCTCTATGTAGCTGAGGATGACCTTGAAGTGATTTTCCTTCCCCAGTTCTCCAAGTGCTGAGGTGATAATTATGTACCATCACACCCAGTCTACGTAGAACTGAGGCTCAAACTCTCAGAGCTTGACACTAGACAGACACTCCAAGTTGAACCATATCCCTGGTTCCCCCTTTTATTTATTTATCTGTATTTTGAGAAAGAGTATTGCTCTGTAGCCCAGGTTGTCTTTGACACTGTGATCCTCTTGTCAGCCTCTCAAGCACCTGGGATGAAAGGCATATGCTACAGCATACAGCTTACTTTTATGTTTAAATGAGTATTTCTGAAATCAAGATGAATATAATAAAACCTCACAGCAAAGGGTAAAGGAGACATATACCTCAGTATTTGGTGATACAAGAAGAATAAAACATTTTTCTATCAAGAAAAACCCATGGATGCCTCCAAGCAATCCCAACAGCTTCCAAATAGGACCTTGGCTTTCATGGAAATGTCCAAGCTCTGGGGCTTCCTGCTTATGTAAACCAAGAACCTTAAAAAAAATGAAAGAAGATTCAGGCCAGGAAAGCAGACAGGCTAACAGCAGAACTTCGCCTCCCCTTCACTCCACCAAATCCACTCCCCCCACCCCAGTCTTATTCCCAGCTTTGTAACAGAACACTTGCTGTGGCCTCACTTCCTTTCTGTCCCCATTTCCAGTGAATCACACATCTTCCTCTCCAAATTTCCCTCCCCTGCTCATTACTTTATCCTAGTCCCCCACTCCAACGGGCTACTCCAGCCAGTGAAGCAGGTAGGCTAACTGCAGATCTTCATTCTCCCTCCTCTCCTCCAAACCCAATCCCCCTTTAACACCCCCGGGTCTGTAACAGACCTCCTGCTACATCCTCACCTCCCTCCTTGCCCCAGTCTCCAGCAGAACACACAGATCTTCTCCTCCAACCTTTCTTCACCCTAGTTACCGCTTTATCCCAGTCCTTAGTCCAGCCAGGGAAGCAGGTAACCTAACTGCAGCTCCTCGCCGCTCCATTTTCCCCTCCAAACCCAATGCCATGGTCTCACAATTTCACCCCCAAATCTATAGCAAACCATCTGCTGTCCCCTCCCCTTTCTGTCCTCATTTCAGCCGATAACTTAGATCTTCTCCTCCAAACCTTCCTCCCCATTCATGCAGCGATTCTAGCCCCCATTCCATCAGGATTTCCCTGGGGAACCCACCAGTCAAACCTACCAGAGAGGCAGGCAGTCAAGCTTCAGATGTCTACTTTCCCTTCTCTCATCCACATCCAATCTCCCAGCCTCATCTTCAACTCATTAACTGGTTTCGGCCTCTACTCACTCTCTACCCCCATTCAGGGGACTAAGCAGATCCTGGTAGAATTCCCTGCTTTTCTGTCTCCTGTGGACCCTCTCCCCAGCAACCTGTCCTAGCCCATACCCATCCCTAAGTGTTACCTCCTAATATGCACTTTGCCAGGATCCCACAGTAGCCTCACCTATCATATCCCAGAAGAATTTCTTACCAGGTAACACACGGTCACCTAAGAACCATAGAGGGCAACAGAAACCAAGGAACAAAACACTCACCCAACAAAGACCAGACCAAGTATCAGCACCTAGAATTACAATCTTCCAAACCCATATGTCTACATGCCAGTGTAAAACGGCAACAAATAACAATTAGGATAGCATATCCCTGCTAGAATCCACCAATCCTACCACATGCAGTAGGCCCTGAAAACTGCAATATAACTAAACCTCAAGACAAAGACTTTAACATAGCTTTTGTGGCTATGATAGAGGCCCTTAAAGAGAAAATGAATAAATACCTTAAAGAAATCTGTGAAAGCAAAGACAGAGAAAGGAGATAAAAAAGAAAACAATTCAAGATCTGAAAGTGGAAAGAGAGTCAACCAAGAAAACCTAAACCAAGGAAAATCTGGCAATGGAAATTGAGAAACTCAAGCAGGAGCCTCAGAGACAAGTATCACCAACAGAGTGCAAGAGATTGGATGAGAGAATCTCAGTCATTGAAGACATGACAGAAAAAATGGATACCTTGATTTAAAAAAAGTTAAATCTAAAATAATCCTGGCACAAAACATCCAGGAAATCTGGGACATGATGCAAAGACCAAATTTAAGACTAATAGGAGTAGAGGAAGGAGAAGCAACCGAGGCCAAAGGCCCAGAAAATTTCCCTAACCTAAAGAAAAGATGGATGTCAAGGTATAAGAAGCATACAAAACACCAAACAAATGGGGGCATGAGGGGAGCAAATTCCCTCAGCACAAAGTAAACAAAACACTAAACATACAGAAGAAAGAATATTAAAAGCTGCAAAGGAAAAAGACAAAATAACATATAAAGGCCGACCTAGTACACTAATGCCTGACTTCTCAGTGGAGAATCTAAAAGCCAGAAGAGCCTATACAGATAGATGTGCTGCAAACTCTAGGAGACCACAGACGCCAGCCCAGACTATTATACCTAGCAAAATTTTCAATCACAGTAAGTGAAAAAAAATTCCATGATAAAACCAAATTTAAGCAACATATATCTACAAATCTAGTCCAACAAAAGGTGCTAGAAGGAAAACTCTGAACTAAAGAGGTTACCCAAATCCAAAAAAGCACAAGAAATATGTAATCCCAGACAAGCAAATCAAAACAAAAAAAACATACACACCACGACATCAAAACAGCAGTCATCAAAAAATACCAATTCTTGCCAATCTTTCTCAACATCAGTGATCACAATTCCCCAACTTAAAACACACACACACACACACACACACACACACACACACACACACACAATCAGAATGAAGGCTAAACAGAATCCATTTTTCTGCTGCAACCAGGAAATACACCTTAACATTAAGAATAGACATCGCCACAGGGTAAATGATAGAAACAACCATTCCAAGCAAATGAACCTAAAAAGCAAGCTGGTACAGCCATTTTAATATCTGAAAAATACACTTCACATCAACACTCATCAGAAGAGATAGAAAATAATATTATATACTCAAGAAGGGAAATCCACCAAGAGGACATTACAGTTCTTAACATCTATACACCAAACAGAAGGGCACCCAAAGTCATAAAAGAAACACAACAACAGCTTAAATCACATATTGACCTTCACACACTGATAGTGGGAGACTCCAATACTCACTCTTGCCAATAGACAGGTCATCCAGACAAAAACTAAACAGAGAAATGTTGGAACTAACTGGCTATCTCAAAACCAAACACAAAACCAGACACATTCACTCAAACACAAAAGAATATACCTTCTTCTCAGCATCTCGTGGAACTTTCTCCAAAACTGGCCACATAATCGGGCACAAAGCAAGTCTCAACAGATACAAGAAAATTGAAATAACACCCTGCATCCTATCAGAGCACCATGGCTTAAATCTGCATAACAACAACAGAAACAACAGAAAGCTAAGAAACTCATGAAAATTGAACAACTCTCTACTAAACAAAAAGTTGGTCCAGAAAGAAGTCAAAAACTTTCTAGTACTTTGGTACACAGTGAAGATAGTTCTAAAAGGCAAGTTCATAGCACTAAGTGCTCACACAAGAAAACCATGGAGACCTGATACTATCAGAGACCTCATACTAGTAATTTAAAAGACTACCTGAAAGTTTTAGAACAAAAAAGAAATCACACCCAAAAGGAGTAGATGGCAAGAAATAATCAAATTCAGGGAAGAAATCAGTGATATAAAAACAAAGAGAACATGGAATGTAAAAAGTAAATTAATAAAAACAATTAAAAAACAAAGAGAGCAAAATAAAAATAACCAATGAAATGAACAGTTGGTTCTGTGGTTCTGCTTCTTCACTGAGATCATTGGTGCATTAGTCCATGAGGGATGAGGAAGTAGGAGCAGGGAACAGGGTTCAGAAGGTTGCGAGTACCAGAGAAAGCCCTCTGAGAGATGACTTTGGTGAATCAGCTCAGATTTATTCCAGTATATAGAAAATATTTAGGATTGGGGAGCCTGGGAATAAACTCTAATTTGTGTTAAGTGTCATGCTTCTCTTATAAGCCTTCTTATGTGCCCATGTGCCAGGAGGGTCCTATAGCAACGCCCCTATTACAAGTCTTAGTTACCATACATGCAGCAGGGAAAGGCTTCTAGCAGGAAACTGTGCCAAGGGTCATGCTGAAGATAAATCAGGCATCCAGGCTTAGAGACAGGTTTCAGATAAGGTCAGGTAGACAGCAGGAAACCTTGATAATGAGGAGGGAGTCCTCATGTTGCTGAGCTTTGGGGAAAGCTGCCAGGACATGATTGACTTCAACCTCTGACCAGCAAGGCCTTTCATCAGGTTGTTTGAAGAAATTAATAAGGTTGACAAAACCTTATCCAAATTAATAAAAAGGAAGGGATATAATACACAAATTAGCAAAATTAGAAATAGAAAAGGTGACATAATAACAGACACCAAAGAAATGCAGAGAATCACAAGGGCAGACTTTAAAAACCTCTACTCCAAAACACTGGAAAAATCTAAAAGGAAATTTTCTCAGTACTTGTGACTTACCAAAGTTGAATCAAGATCAGATAAGCAATTTAAATAGACCGATAACCTTTAGTGATATAGAAGCAGTAATCAAAGAACTCCTACTTACTCCACCCCCCCAAAAAAACTAAGGCCAGATGGCTTCAGTACAGAATTGTCCCAGACATTCAAAGAGTTAATGCCAATACTCATTAGATTATCCTACAAAATAGAAACAAGGAATATTGCCAGTGTTTTGGCATAAAACCTCATTTTATAAGGACACAATTACCCTGGTAACCAAACTACTTAAAGACCTAACAGAGACAGAATTACAGACCAATTTCTCTTATGAACATAAATGTGAATATTCTCAATATAATACTTGCAAATTGAATCCAAGAACACCCCAAAAGGATCATCCACCATAATCAACTAAGCTTCATCCCAGAAATGAACAGGTGATTCAACATATGTAAATCAACAATGTAATGCACTATATAAACAAACTGAAAGAAAAAAACACATAGTAATTTCATTAAATAGAGGAAAGGCCTCTGGCAAAATCCCACCCATTCATGATAAAAGATTAGAGATCCAAGGGACATACCTAAAATTATAAAGGGAGTTTACAGCAAACACATAGCTAACATCAAGTTAAATGCACAGAAATTAAAAACAATTCCACTAAAACCAGGCACAATAGAAGGCTGTCCACTCTCTCCCCATACCTATTTAAAATAGTAATTAAGGTGTTAGCTAGAGCAATAAGAAAAAAACAAGAAAACTAAGGAAGATCAATGGGATACAAATTGAAAATGAAGAAGTCAAAGTATCTTTATTTGAAGATGATATGATAGTATATATAAGTGACCCTAAAAATTCAACTGGAAAATTCCTACAGCAATAAACACTTTCAGCGAAGTAGCTTGACACAAAATTAACTCACAAAAATCAATAGCCCTCCTAGGCCTTGGCAATCTCTGGGGTCTTAGGTAGTAGATCAATGT